AAAGTGCAGCAGAAACAGCTGTGCCAGAGAAAGATCAAGCCTTCTGGACAATTGCAAGGGTGTGGTGCACTGTGGAACTCCAGCAGGGAAGCCTTTTCAGAACTCTGCCAGGAGGAGGGAAAGGTTTGGAGCCCCTGAAAGTTTAACCCAATGGATCAAGTTCACTCATTTATTCAGAAAACACAATTGAACACCAAGTGTCAGGCCATGTGCTGGGTCCTGCAAATAAAAAGCTAAATGAGTCAAAACTGTCCCCCATGATACATGCCACAATAGAAGTATGTGTCAGGGGCTGGAGATCATGGGCAAGCCAATGTTGGAATACGAATTATAATGGCTTATCAGGGAAGATTCACTAAAAGATGTGGCTCTTGGACTGAACCATGGAGAGCAGCACAAATTGAACGATTAAAAGGTGGGAAGTAAACTCTAAAACAATTATGGGCTTAGCTACCAGGACTGCACAGAGGTATCCAGCTTCACAACTGTGATTCATATAAAAAAAATCTCTATAGAATCTTTATGTCTGATCCTTAACTTAATCACCTCTGTAAAGTCCCTTTTGCCAGGTGAGGTAATAAATTTCACGGTTCTGAAGATTAGGGTGTGGTCTTCCTTGGTAGACCATTACTTTGCCCACTCCAGGAGACATCCTGGATTCTCTCCCTAATCCCCACATCCTTCCCACAGCAGCCATTACCAGGTGCTAGCGAGAGACTTCCTCCAAAATCATCCCAATTCCACCCAGTTCTAATTTCACTACCACTTCCCCGACTCGGGTCACTTTAACACCTCACCTATATTACTGAGCTGGCTTCCCTAATGGTTTCCCACGGCTACTCTCCCGCGCCCGCCCCCCCCCCATCCATTCTCCACACTGCAGCCAGAGTGGCCTTTCTAAAATCACTCCTCTGCTTAAACCTCTCAACGATCGCCCTTTACACCCAGGACCCAATTCAGGATCTTTCACCTGGCCCCCAGGTCTCTTCCTGGGCAGCCCTCAGCCCCCCCCACCCCTGCATGCTCATCGCCAGCAGGGTCCCCTCAGTTCTTGAAGGCACCACACTCTTCCTTCCTGCTACGGTTTGGAGATGCTCTGCGTATGTTCCCCAGGGGTTCATGTTGAGAGGTGGAGGAGTTGGTTAGGTCACTGGAGGCTCTACCTTTGGAAGGAATTGATGAGATCCTGCTTAGATCTTTGAAAGGATTGTTCTAAGAGGGAGTCTGGTGCCTCCCCGTGCTCTGGCTTCTGATCTCACTGTGTGGTCACAGGTACTCCCACCATAATGCCATCTGCATGAGGTCCCCACCAGAGCCAAGCCCAGGACAATGCCACACTCTCAGACCTCCAGAACTGTGAACTACATAATCCTCCTTTCATTATAAAGTGCTCAGCTTCAGGTATTTTGTTACGGACATGAAAACCAGACGAATACACCTTCTCATACTAAGTGTAAATGTTGTGTTAATATTTATATTTTCTCCTCCCAGAATGCCCCTCCACTCTCTGGCCTGGAAATCACTCTCTCATCTTTTTGGTATTTTCTTAATGTCATTTCTTCAAAGAGGTGGCCCCAACCTAAATTAGGTCCTCCCTCAATAGTTCCATGTTCTTTCCTTCCCAAATTCTTAATATAATTTTAATTTCATGATTATTTACTTAAGGCCCATCTCCCCCAGTGAATAATAAGTTCCATAAGAGTTGATAAAGCATTTGTTTCCTTCCCGTCTGAATCACCTGCTACTAACACAGTGCTTGCACATAATGGGTGCTCCTTAACTATTTCTATATAAATAAATGAATGTCACTTAATAGGCAGCATAACGGTAGCCAAAAGCTTCAATTTGCTACTAACTTGACATTCTGAAGAGAATTTTGTAAGAACTGTGCTTATGCTTTTTTTTTGGAGAGGAATTTGGGGGTTGAGTTTTATTTTTCTACCTGATCCTAGGATAATTATATGCACCGAAAGGTGCATATAATTGCACAATGAGTCACCAGGCCCATTCTGGGCTTTATTCATCCCGTTTTATGGTATTTATCCTTTAACAGTTCTTTTCCTCAGTTTCTTCATATTTAAAAAGGGTGAGGGACCCTCCCCTGAATTTCCAGCTTCCTTGTAAGGGTCCAATGAGATAATATACAAGAATTCCTTTTGGAATTGGTAAAGCACACGATTAATGTAAAGCAGTCTTATCTTTATATTCACCGCACTCTGGAACCTCAGAAAAAGATCGTTGTTGAGTGAGTGTCCGTGGTTTAATCATTTCCAGCTGAGGGCACGCAGGACCCAGGCTGATAGGGAGGTTCCACCCCAAGCACCTGAGCAGCAATACTCATTTGAAGGTGAACGTTGCCCCCTGGTGGAAATAGAGGGTAGAGACACACTCCGCAGTCCGGAATTACCAGGGGTCCTGATAGATGCTGAATGTAAAGAATTGACTATTTAGAATGCCTTTTGAAGCGATAGCTTGTTTTCTTTCTATTTTATGCTGTTTTATTTATTTTGCATTGACAAATAAAAATTGTACGTGTTTACAGTATACAACAGAACGTCTTGAAATATGTATACATTTTGAAGTGGCTCAAACAATTAACATCATCATTTTTTTATAGTGAGGACGCTTAAAATCTATTCTGTTCTCTTAGCAATGTTTAAGTATAAAATACATTGTTCTTTTCTTTTTGTTGTGAAATGTTCTTCTGGAAACACTTTATTTACATATGAAAATGCAGATGTGCTAAACCAATTAGTTGTCTGGTTATTATTTAATAAGTAATTATAAACAATTAGCAATAGATAATAATAAAGAGTAGTAATAATAAATGAGTTACATAATAGACACCAAAGATCTTTTACGATTCTCTCTATGTGCTAATACACTGATTCTTTAATATTTCAACTTCAACAATTCAAAGAAAAATTTCATGATTCATATAATATGTTGACTAAGAAAGGCAATTAATAAAATAGATATTTATATTAACATGCATGATAGAGAAATTATTTATATCTAAAATAGGCTCCTCATGTGGCCAGAATCTCAAGGTCACCTTGAACATCACCAGCTTTCACCTGGGAATGTGCCTCATGGCCCTGAATAAATTGTTTAGTATTTATCATCTGCAAATAAGGGGCTGAATTAAGTGATGTCTAAGGCTCTTTGCAACTTTACAAATATCCTACAACACTGCCTAGACTCTGCATTTAAAGGCTATGCCAATGCTGCCCACAGCACCAGCTGACCAGCTTTAGGCTGCTTAGAGCAACACTGTTCCCAGAGATACTCCTGACTTGTCTGCTTAGAGCAACACTGTTCCCAGAGATACTCCTGACTGTCCTTGTGATAACACAACTACATACCTTTCTTCCATACCTGAGCCTGAAGCTCAGAAAGCAAAGCCACCCCAAGACTTACCCCTGCATCATGTGGCTATCTCCCTTCCCCTTTTGCCCACCATGTTGTGAGGTAGCCAAGAGGATACTTGTTAGAGGATACCCACTAGACTTTCAACTTTCAAAACTGTGAGCTAAATAAACCTCTTTTCTTTCTAAACTACCCAGCCTCAGCAACTTTGACACTACAATAGAAAATGGACTAATACAGCAACCTGTCTTCCTTCACCTTTATCAATCTCTTACTCACATTCTTGCCTGTTACATGACCTCATAATGATGCCCAATCACTTAACCTGTCTTTTCCCTCAGACTCTCTCTGGTGTCACTTTCTTCTTTCTATATGATCACATAGCCATTTTCTCAGGATTAGAAACTTCTCTGGCACTCTTTTTTTTTTTCTTCTAAACCCACTTCAAATTGCCAAACCCACATCAGTCTGATACATCGTCCTCTCTATTCCTTCACTAAGATTACTTCCACATATGAAGTTGAACGTCAACGCAAATGAGACCTCGACCCTCTATACTCCATGACAATCCCTCACTCACCACTGATCAGGTATTTTCCCAGATCAGTGGACTTATTCTGAACATTCGCTCTTCCTATCAGTCATCTTTGGGACATCCCACCAAACCCTTGAACCCAGTTGATCTAAGACTAAACTTGGTGTCTTCACCCCACCCCAGAATTAATATTATGAGTTCTCAGCATCTGAAATCAATTACTAAAAGGAGTCCCCAACCTCCCTTTGTCCTTACTCTCCAAGGTCATTGGAAGCCCATATCCTCCCAACTCCATCTTCCCCCCAACCCCACTGCCTCCATCCTCCCCACCTGGACCATTGCTCTAACCTTGTCATAGCCTTCTTTTAATCCAGCCTGGTCACATCATCCTCTGCTTTTCCCTTAGTCTCCATTCCAATCTCTTCAGATGAACACAGAAGACTAAACGCAATCCAGCCCCTGTCTAGACCTGACAACAGATTCTGACTCCAATAACAGCCTTTTCCTTTCTGCACTTATTTAGCATCAGGTCTTTTGTTTTTGTGTTTAACACACAGCACCAAGCAGGTACTCATATATGTTAAATAAAGGAACATCCATGTTTGTGTCACAGTCCAAGGTAATAAATAGATGTTTTGTGTGTGTGTGTGTGTGTGTGTGTGTGTGTGTGTGGTGTTAACACACTTTGAGGGGGAGGGATGAAATATCTGTGACTGTAGTTAATATCCTTCATACAACTCAGTGGTAATTGAGACCCTACTGCAGCTGAGGGTGCCCTCTCCTGATCTTACTTACCTTTTAACATTTGATCACACCCTGCACTAGATAATGATGGCATATTCCTAGGATCCAGATGAAAGTAAAGGATGACTCACTCAAAATTAGAAGCTAAAATAATGAAGTTAATATAGAACAAACCCTATCTCAGGTGAGATAAATATCCTGGAGCAACACCCAGAGATGTTAGGCATTAATTATTTTTTTTTAATCATCCAATTATACGTAATTTCGTGCTAATCTAAATGATGCCATTTTTTCTTTTGGCAGACATAACTCACATGGAAACAGCCCCCATGACTGTATATAAAAGCTCAAAGAAACCATCGGGCGCCCGGTCCACATTCTGTTCTTTGACGGTTGCCCACAGCAGAGGCCACGTTTGCCCCGACACCATGTCGCTCCGGTTTTCTGGCGGGTCCAGGCGCTCTTGCTTGCAGTCTGGAGCTGGGTCTGCCAGACCACCCAGCCGAGGTGTGGCAGGCGGCAGTGCAGGCGGCAGCTCCGTGGCTGGCGGTGGATTTTCCTGTGCCCTGGGGATCCCCAATGTTGGGAGCCATGCGGGAGGCGCCCTTGGAAACACTGCTGGAAATGAACGAGGACTCCTCTCGGGGAACGAAAAGGTGACCATGCAAAATCTCAACGACCGCCTGGCATCCTACCTGGATAACGTGCGGGCTCTGGAGGAGGCCAATGCTGAACTGGAGAGAAAGATCAAGAGTTGGTATGAACAATACGGACCTGGGTCTTGCCGTGGCCTTGATCATGACTACAGCAGGTATCACCGAACGATCGAGGATCTGAAAAATAAGGTGAGAAATCAGAGGTTGGGACTAGTCAATGTATTTCAAAGTAAGAAATACCTAGCAAAAAGGAATATCTTGTTGTGGTTAAGATATGCTCATGCCTGGGCGCGGTGGCTGCACGCCTGTAATCCCAGCGACTCCGGAGGCTGAGGCAGGAGGTTTGCAAGTTCGAGACCAGCCTCAGCAATTTAGGGAGGCTCTAA